AAATGCCTTTTATTATGTTGAGGAATGTCCCTTCTACTCCTATTTTGCTGAGAGTTTTGATCAGAAATGAGTGTTGGATTTTATCAAATGCCTTTTCTGCATCAATTGATATGATCACCAAGGCTATACATTTTTGTGGGAGCAGAGTGCCTCATCTTTCTCTTGTGGAGTGGCTGGTCGGTTTGAACTGCTGACATTTTGGTTAGCAGCCAAATGCTTTAACCACTGTGCCACAAGAGCTCTTAGATAAACAGTAGTGATTATCATCATAACTACTACTGTTACTACTGATGACCCTTTGCCTTTTCTAAGTCTGTGCTTCTTCACCGTACATTTACAAGACTCTGAAAAAGCCTTACTTCCAACAACTGCGTTGTTAACCGCACTGCTCCCGTCTCTTCCAGGCGGAGGCCAGACTTGCCGCGAAGCGTGCAGCCCGGGCGGAGGCCCGTGAGATCCGCATGAAGGAACTGGAACGGCAGCAGAAGGAGGTAAGGCTGGGCCCCTGCATCCTTTGGACGATGGGTTTTATTTCAGACACAGTGTGCAGATACAGAGGCACCTGGGGCTGGGAACACACCTGTGCCCTGGACGATGCTGGTGAGTAGGACACACCTGTGCATGTGACCTGTCCAGCGTCAGGCCAGGGACAGCACCTAGCCAACATGCCAGGCATTCCTGTCCCAGGCTTAGCTTGTCAGCTCCCAGAGCTGCCTGCCGAGAAGGTCCCCAGCCCCGCTCTCTGGCTGAATGCAGCCAGAGAGCGTTGTCTAAACATCAGGAGTGGAATCCGCATCCTCCAAATTACAACGGGAAACGATAACAGGTCATGACATGTCTTTAAATGGACAAAGTTGCTTTTTGTAAAATTCTTCACCTCCCGGTTTTTATTGTTTTAGTTAGTTTCGGGAAACCTGAAGCCTTTATGTGACACACAGAACAGAATAAACCTCGTGGATGCAACAGCCACTGAAGAGTCGCCCTCCAGGCAGATGGAGAACAGTGTGTTTGCGTATCTGCTGGGCTGTTCGCTTCTGGTGCATTTTACAGTCTGAGTTGGGGCCAAAAGTCAGGTCTGATAAGAGTGAGTGCTCTAATTCACGGATAGAGTGGTGAGCTTTGCCTTGACCTTGAAGACAACAAGGCAAGTGAAGACTGGGCCCTCTCAGTTCAGGTTCTCCCATGGGCCGTGTCCTGCAAGAGGCCTGAGGAACCATCCCAAGGGACAGTCCACATCACTCACACACCCACCCAGGCTTTCCTTGTTAAGATTTGCAGTTATTGGTGGGACATAGGTTACCAGCTGCCTCCCTGAGGGTGGCTGTCACGCATGGGTTCTTGACTTGCGTGTTGCTGTCGTTGTTGGCTGCCTTGGGCAGCCCTGACTCATGGTGTCCCCATGTACAGCAGCACAAAGTGTTCCCGGGCCTGGCCATCTTCCTGAACCTTGGTGACTCATGGTGACCCCATGTACAGCACACGGAGTGTTCCCAAGCCTGGCCATCCTCATGAACCTTGGTGTGTTTGAGCCTATGGTAGCAGCTGCCGTTCAATCCGTCTCTTGGAGGGTCTCCTTGTTTCTCCTGACCCTCCATGTTACCCAACACCATGTCCTTTTCTACCTAAATTTACAAAGTTGAACCAACGTTTACAGCTCAGGAGGTTCAGCTGGAAACCTGTATTTCTCTTAAAACCGCTGCATTTTCTGTCACCCTCCCAGGAGGACCAAGTGGGCCCCGTTCTGTGTAGGGTGCTCATTTCTGTTCTCTCCCATTGGCCATTTGGGGTAAGACCATGGACAGTGATGAGAAACAGGTCTACTGTGGCTGGGACATGGTGAGTCTTGAACTTGGGGAAGAAAACTCTTCCACGTGGTCCGGAGAATGAGTTGAAGAACAGTAGAAGCTCAGGCGGGAGAGCTGGTGAGAAGGGTGGCTCCACGCCCCGTGACAGGAGCAGGGGTGCCCAGGCGGGCCCAGAGAGGCGGGGACAGCAGGGAGTGCGGGTCCCTTAGGAGCGAAAGCACGCTCCCCCAGGTTCTGGGAAGTGACCCTGGCACACAGCTGCCCGCGCAGACCCTGGTGTATTCTGGGCGTTGCTCGCGCTGCGTTCACATGTGAAGGAAGCCTGGGCCAACGCTGGGGAGCAGATGGCACGTCCTTCCACGTTGTGAGGAGAAATGTGGCTGGCGGTGACCAGGGCCTGGCTTTCAGGCAGTCTTGCCGCTAGAACTTAGTATTTGGTTTTTCGTGCTTCCTTTATGTTACTCAAAGGCACACGGGTTTGGCCTTTTCCCGGGGTCTTTTATCCCCACCGCGTGTCACACGTACCGTTTTAAAATGCAAAGAACGTGCTCCTGCGCCTTCGAGGTCATGGTTTGAACTTTACTACCGGCTGCAACTTGTAACCGGAAGTCCCTCCCCCTCCTCCCATGGTGCCTGTTGAGGGGGAGGTGAGGTTCCAAACGGTATCCGGATTGGGACCCGAGGACACGTTCCCATCAACTCGGGGGGATGGAAACGTTCCGCAGGACTCCGGCTCCGTGCACAAACATCTTTTGGTAACTTGGGTCCGAGGAGCCTCCACACTCAGGTATGGTGACTGGGTCACGAGAGCGTGTGCTGCCCCACCAGGGATCTGTGGCTCGGAGAACCAGGAGCACCCGGCCGGAACCAGAAGGAAGGCACTTTGGGAAACGTTGTTTCTCAAACGGCATCTTCCGTGAGTAGTTCCGGTCTCTGCTTTCCCGGCATTCTCCACTTCCGTGCTCAGGCCCCACCCCTGGGAAGGCTGGACCACGTGTTCCCCGCCGCTCTCGGGCTCCCCCTGGCGGACCTGTGAGTGGCCGCGTGTGGCAGGACCGCCGGGAGGGCGGGGCTCCGGGCGGAAGCACCCGGAGCTACCAGGTGAGCCCTGGGGCGCCGAGTAGGGGCAGCGCCAGCTTCTCTCTCGAGGTCCGGGACGAGCTGCCGGGACACACGTGTCCCCATCACATGCTGCTCTTCAGACCCAGGAGGGGCGGGCGCAGGGGACAGGCTGGCCAGGTGCACTGCTCCGTTGTCTGGTTAGCCCGCGATAGTGGGGCCCGTTTATGAAAACGGCAACTTTGCTGTCCTAACTTTGCTGTCTTTTAGATAGGAGAACATTATTGAAGTTTATGTCTGCTATAGGAGGTCCCAGATAGAGCGGGACAAAAATGTGGACCAAAACTCAGAATCATAGACCAGCCTTACTGGTCTGATAGAGACTATGGCCGTGGACACACTTTAAGCCTGGAACTGAGCTCACCCCAGTGGGTCAGCTTTCAGCCAAACAACAGAGAGGGCTGAGCCATGACGATGACACAGGGAGGTACACACCCCTTAGAACAGCCAATCATGAGGTCAGAAGGGCAGCACGTGCGCAGGGAGCCCGCCCAGAAAACGGGAAGGGATGGGAGAGAAGGATTAAAGGAAAAGGTAAACCGGGAGGAAGTGGGACGAAGGCTGTCCCCTTGTGGGGGTTGCAGTGAATGTCACAAAACAATGTGTGTGAATGACTGAATGAAAAGCCAACTTGCTCTGTAGACTTTCACCCAAATCACAATTTAAAAAAAAAAAAAATGCATATATAGTAAAGAATAAAGTTTACGTCTGCTGCTTCAAAAAAAGGATTTGAAAGATTTTGAATTCAAAATTTTCATGTTTTATTAACAGTAAAAGAGCCCACTGCGAGTGGGGCAGGTGGGGAGGGCACTCTCGGAGCTGTGCTCTGAGGCAGCCGGGTCTGTGGGCCTTCACGTGCAATCCCGACGCTACCGCAGCATTTTACAGAGCAGGAGAACTGCCTTATATCGCAGTGTTTTGTGTAGCTAACAAACCAGCCGAGCCAAGATTTACCTCTGGATGGAGCTGACGGCAAAGCTCACTTTCTGTCTATTATACTTCCCCGCCTTACAACCAAATCATACTGTCAAAAATAAACAGAAGACAAGGCAGGGGCAAGGTGTCAACTGTGGGATCCGGCTGAGCTGTGAGCTTACTGGCGCCCGGTGCAGAGAGGGGTATATGATGATCCACACTTCCCTAGTCTTAGAAACAGAAGGCTACCTGAAGAAACAAGTTACGATTGTTACGATGCTGAACAGAGTCCCTGGGCGGTGCGCAGCTGCGAGCTGAAAGGTTGATGCTTCGCGGGCACCCAGGGGCCTCAGAAGGAAGGCCTGGCCGTCCTCGTCCAGAAAGCCCTAACCTGACAAACCCTGTGGGGCAGTTCTGCTCTGCACACGTCGGCCTGCTGTGAGTCAGGATCAGCTGGGAGACAGCTAACGATACAGTCGCCCCACAGTGTCCGCGGGGGACTGTTCCCGCACCCCTCAATACCAAACCTGAGGATACGCGAGTCCTTAGATAAAATGTCGGGGTGTTTGCATATAACCTGTGCCCATCCTTTCGCTTACAGTCATCTCTGGGTTCCTGTGGGACCGAGTGCAATGGAGGTGCTGTGGAAACGGCACGTCATGGGCCCGCTTGGCCTTTTTTTTCCCAAAATATTTTCGATCCACAATTGGTTGACTCCACAAATGCAGATATGGAGGGCCCACCGTACTGAACACTGCAATATACTGTCTTGTTCGCAAGAATTTTACAGATAAGACAAGCAGCAGCTGTTCCTCTAGCCACGTCTTAGTTGTTGTTGTTATGTGCAGTCGAGTCGGACCTGACTCACAGCAACCCCTCCTTGGGTTTCCGAGGCAGTATCACTACGGAAGTAGGAGCCATGTCTTAGTTGGACCCAAATCAAGGGAGCGTGTATATGTGTGCACACGTTACGTGTGTGCATGTGTGTGTACATGTGTGTATGTGTGCATTTGCATGTTGGTATAGAGATAAGAGTGAGCCAGGCCAATGGTCCGAGCTTGCAGGTTCCAGGCGACGCTTGCAGATTCGAGGGAGCGCACAGGGACCTCACCCCTCCACTCTCCACTGTGTGCCCCCCTTGGGTCCAGCTATTATTAGACCAGCTCAGTCAATTTGAGGTTATTCGATCCCACAGCCTGAGGCAGTAGCATTTCAACTCGTAGATGAAGTAGAAATTCATATGCCCTGGAAGACCCATGTCTGACTGGTCGGGTCAGTATTTGGGTGTGAAACGTGAGAGCCCTTAGGTGTTCCCATCCTCATCAGGGACCACCCCCTCACACAGGGGTCTTTGATCACGAGACTCAGACCTGCTGCAGGCTGATGCAGACAGTGTCCCCGGAGATCAGAGAGTGGGAAGCTGGCGACAACGGGTTGAGGGCTGCAGAGGCGGGTTGTAACTGCAGCCTCAGTGGGAACTGGGACCCCCAAAGAGAGTGGGGAGTGAGCAGAGAGATGGGGTTGGGGATGGAAGCCAGAGTCACCAGTACTCGTCACCAAGATGTGTCACATCAGATGTGTCACCCAGCCCAGCGGAGCGGGGATGGGCGAGGGCGGTGAGCTGGCAGAGGGTCACCCAGACACCCCCACAGGCCAGCCCCGGCCCCACCCACCCCATGCAGTATCCCCTGAAACTCTCAGCGCCTGCGGTTGAAAAGGCGTGTGAATTCCGTCATTGAGGGGCTCGTCAGGAAAGAAACCTGTAGGGGAAGTCCACGAGGCCTTGAACTCAGGACACACTGTACCGTGGGGAAAATGCGTCCCTGTGGTGATAAGCATTGTTGTTGGAGCTCCTTGCAGGCCTGAGGTTGATTCCGCTCTCCTGGGCTCACCGTTCGTGCGCTGGCAGGGCCCGGAACGGCGCCTAAGGCTGTGCAGGAATGAAGTGTGGCCGTCCCTCCCTTACCCAGTAATTACTGCAGGAGTCGAAGAAACCACTGAAGCAACAGAAGAGTCGACGATGATAAGCCGTGGTCTTGGGGTTTTTAAATACGTCCGTTCACTCTGGTGGCTGGGTTTCCTCACCTTCTTTGGGCATCTGTGTGATTGGGAGCAGCAAGGCATCTTTCCTCATCATGAATCCCACCGGTTGACTTCAGTGTCTGCGTTTTTTGGCCCAGATTTTACCAGCATGCGAAGAAATTTTGCAGTTGAAGATGGCGTCGTCCTTTCCCCACCGATGGCACTAGAAGGCTGTACAAACTGCTGACACAGGACAATAGCGGGTTCTGGGCGCGCCACGTGCGCGCAGCCATTTTAGTTCCTCTAGAGTAGAACGTGAGATGAGGTGACATTACCAAGTCAGTGGGGTCTTCAAAGGGTTGTTTGGGTTCCTGTGTAGAAGTATCCACTGTTTACGACTCTGCCTCACATTTCTAGGCGTTCACGGGATCTGTCTCGCTGATGTTTCTGGTCTTTAATTGCATTTTCTGTTTCTTTCCCTCCTTTTCTCTGTAGATCTACCAGGTCCAAAAGGTAGGCAGTTCCTGCCTTGTTTCCCAGTCTGCATGCACTGTCTTTCCCTGCCAGGGCCTGGCCACCTTTCTAGAAATAGTGCTTTGCCTTGAAGATTTGCAGATGTCTTGCTGCTGCTTTTACTGCCTGGTTTGGAGGGTGTTTAAACGCGTCTGCTTGGGCCCCGCTCTTAAAGCACAGCCGTAAAGAGCAACCGACAGGCTCTGCCGCGTCTAATGCTCTTATCATGGCTTCATCAAGAATGAGGACAATTGCGTGAGGGGGAAAAAAGACAGAAACCAATGCCAAGACAAAAGTCACGTTTCCGAATGTGGGAACGCTTTTGAAATCTGATAGGAGCCCTGATGGTGCAGCACTTAAAGTGTTCAGCTGCTAATCAAAAGGTCAGCGGTTCAAACCCACCCTCCTTGGGAGGAAGCCCCTCCTTGGGAGGCCCCTCCTTGGGAGGAAGACGTGGCAGTCTGTGACTGAAGGTTACCGCCTGGGAAACCCTGTGGGTCAGGTCTACCCTGTCCTATGGGGGCGCTGTGAGTCGGAATGAGCCGCATGGCGCCTGGTTTGGTTTTTGGTTTGCCTGAACTGGGAGGGGCCAGCCTGGCTGCTCTGGCTGTAAGCAGCAGAGTCGGACCCCATGGTCTAACACCCGTAGGAGGGGTGCTCCGTCCGGAAACTTCCACTTGGCCCCATGCCTTCCCTGACGTCACTCACGCATCATTTTCTTTCTATTAACTCACCAGCGATGCACTTCAGAGCCTTGCCAGGATGCTAATTTGCCTACAGAGCGGAAGTGTCACACGCTCTGAAGTCCTGGGTGGCAAAGCAGGTCCCCTTGTCATAAAGGTGCGTCGCAGGGGAGGGCAAGCTTTCCTCGCCGCCACCGAGGCCTGGAGTTGGAGCCAGAGGCAGTCAGGACTCTGGCCCGGCCCATCGGCTGTGTGCGTAAGCGTCTCTTTTCCACTGGGTGGAGCCGTTTCTGAAAGTCCAGCCCTTGTGCACTCGCCTGGCCTTGGCTTCTCTGCGTGATTCACCTGCTGACGTCCCTGTGCACCTTGCTGGAGAGTGCTGTCCTCGTGCGCCCTGCTAACACCGGCTGCTTGTCAACCGCACTGGCTGCTCCTGGGTGTGCTCTCCCCCAGAAATGACAGGGAGACGTAGCCAGAGTCACGGCCCCCAAGGTCGTCATGAACAGGAGGGATGATTTTTATCGTGAAGAGAATGTGCAGCGTGCAGTGTTTGACGGGACGTTGTTGTTGTTAGCTGCTGTTGAGTCGTCTCTGACTCATGGCGACCCCTTGCACAGCGGAATGAAACACTGCCCGGCCCTGTGCCGGCTCCACGATCCCGGCTGCATGTTGATATAGAGTGTGGCCAAAAAGGAAAACAGAGAAACTGGTAACACAGCTGTCGTTAGGAACTTAAATCATCTTCATGGGGATTTACATGGACGCCCTTCCTTTTGGAAGACACCCTTTCCTCTTATCTTTGTCATGAAGCCCATTTCACAGGTGAAAAATCTGAAGTTTGACACGGAGGGCAGGGCTGACAGTAACTGCCTCCGAACAGCTCTGGGGTCTTGCAGTTTTGTGGGACAGAAGCTGAACCACGACTTTCCAAAGCGTTTGCTCGTGTTTCCTGTCTGGATCTATGTCCTAAGGAAAGCAACTTTCAGAGAAAGACTTGGCTCGTATGCTTTTTGTATTAGAGTTTGTCTTAGTGGAATTTTGGAAGCATTGCTAAATTCTCCCTCCTCATTTTCCCTCTTCCAGTTTTCTAAAAGAAAGGAGTGAGACCTTGCTAGGGCGATTTGTTTTAAATTTGGCCATCCTTCAAAAAAAACTGAAATGAAATCAAATGACCAAACGCAACATGTTTTGGTGTTGAGACACAGTTTCGAAATTTGTTGCATACTTTTAGCATCAATTTTTTTTCCTTCCCGTTATAAGCAGAATTTAACATGTAAAGAGAAGGTCATGTTGTGTTACACAAGGTGCAGGTCCACTTGGTTGTTCCTGGCAGGGTTTTGAATTGCCTCAGTCGTGGCCGATGCAGTAAGATTGGAGAGCAGGCTCAAATTTTAAAAATTTGAGTGAAGCAGAAACGATAGTGAGAATGGGAAAAATGAAATGATAACAAGAATGGGAAAAATGATGGGTTGAAGCCCTGGACTGGGAGACTAGGAGGAGCTTAGGGAGCCCTTTGAGGAGCCTGCTCTGGGAGATTGGGTCAGCATACATTCAAAGTAGCACATCTGGCTGCCATCTTTCAGCCGGGCACTGTTTTTTCCGACTCTGCCAGTTAAGAGATTTGACTCTGTGCAACACACACGCGCGTGCACACACGCACACACACACACACTGCCCTTGTTTTCTAAGAGGGAGATTAAGTTTCTGGCAGGGCATTGACCCCCGATTTTTTCCTGTTCTGATTAGCATTCCAGTTCATTCACATGTCACATATTCAAGTCCATTCCAGTCTCGCTTCATGAGCCATGACTGAACCAGGAGAACTGGTTCAAAGCCCTGGTTCATTGCTGTTCTTACAGGAAATTGAAGGAAAAGTGAGGAGAAAAGCAGAACCTTGTTATTTGTAGTTGTGACCTGGATTTACACCTAATTTTGGAATCACTATCTATAGTAACAGCCATTCCAAGTCTCCTCATTTAATTCTGCCTTGGATCAGTGTGCTGTGGACTAGCAAGGAAAATACAGACATATCAGATCCAGTAAACGCTGACCGTCATCCACAGCTCTGCACACGTTGCTTCCCTGAGCAAAGGCCTCTTCTTAGACTACCCAGGCATCTTTCTATCAGCATCTGTACAGACACCCCAAGTGTCTTCTCACGTTGCCTGTGTGGCATAGAGAGCCGACCGCTGGGATCAGGGCACTGCAGACCTGGAGGCCAGTACAGTTTCTTCCCCTTTCCTCTAGGGTGTTTCATCCTAATTTTAGCACCTTGGAATGCTGGCTTTGCTTCCGTAAGCAGGGCTTGAGTCCTCCCGCATGTCTGGAAGGCATGAACAGCCTTAGAAGGGGCTTGAGTTTCCATTCCTGGTCCCCGTGCCGCCTCCCCACCCAGGAATGCTTTAGTCCTGCCTTTGGCAGTTTGCAGGGTAGAGAGGAGGGGAGGGTCTCTGTTCTGCAGCCTCTCAACCCCCAGGACCGCCAGGACAGCGGCTCTGCCCTTCCTCGGAGCCCGGAAGACGGCGGCTCTCGCCTTCCTCGGAGCCCGGAGGACGGCGGCTCTGCCCTTCCTCAGAGCCTGGAGGGTCCCTGCTTTGCTCCGTGTGCCCCCTCACCGCGGGACTTGGCTCTCCCTTGGCAGTGCATGTCACAACAGTTCTTGTGCAATTCTGATTCGTTTCGTACCTAACCTTCTCTCCTTTCTGTCTATAGAAATATTATGGGCTGGATACAAAATGGGGTGACATCGAGCAGTGGATGGTAGGCCTTGCATCTGGTCTGAGACGTTGAATTGCTCTGTAATTTAACCCTCGTGCACTTGAACCTTGCAGCTCGCTCTCCTCACACAGTAATCTAACGCTGAGGGGTTTTCTTCCAGGGATTTCTGCATCTGTCCCTATTGTTTACATCCTGCATGAAGCCTGGTGACGGTCCTGGTGCAGCCTTGGTCTCGCCTGGCCTGGGGGGTGCCCGGTTTGTGTGTGACTGCCATCCTAAAGGTTGGTGGAGTGAACCCACCCAGTGGCAGGGCAGAAGAAAGGCCTAGCAATCTGTTTCTCTAAAGATTACGGCCGAGAAAACCCTGTGGAGCAGCTCTGTGTAGTGTGCGGTCGCCATGAGGCAGCGTTGACTCGACTGCAGTGGGCTTGGCTTCTGGTTTAGTAGCGGCTGACCCTGGAGCCTGGTGGTTGGCACTTGGCGGAGCCCCTGCCACCACAGCCAGCCTGATGCCCCGGGCAGAAGACTCTCCTACGGGGACATGTGGGCTGAGCGTGTGCTCCTGATGTGAGAGTTTTCCAGAAGAACAGTCACAGCTCTCACCAGGTTCTAGTTGGAACACCCTGAAGTGGCCTTATGCTCTGTTCCCTTCATTCATGACCGCCACCACCTACCTGTCACCCTCCTCCCGGCCCTGCTAGGCCAGCTGTTCCTCACCTCATCCACTGTGTCCCCTGAAGCCCCTGTTTGATGAGAAAAGTACCTCTACTTTCTCAGGCTGTGCCCTAGACCATCTGCCGTGTCTTTCTTTTTAGTTGAAAACTCGTTCCCCTCTCATGACAGAAACCAGTCACTGTCAGGTTGTGCCAGAAAGACCTGGCGATCTGCCCCCTTGAAGGTGACGCCCTGGGAAGCCCTATGAGACTGTTCTACACTGTCCCACGGGGTCACCGTCAGTCGACTCCAGTGCACCTAACACCAACGGTCTACAAATAATGGAAACGTAAAGTGGTCCCTGAAGTCTGGGATACCTATGTGTAAATAAAATAGACTAGTCCTTGAAATATGAAGAGGGTGTGCTACCTCAATTGAAACAATGTGTGATGAGATTCACCCTTGGTTTTGTGTAAACCAGCCTCTAAGGCTTATGAAATGCAGGGAGATGTATCTTATCCAAATCAACCAAAAACCAAAACCAAACTCACTGCTATCAAGTCGGATCCAACTCACAGCGACCCCTCCTTGGGTTTCTGCAGTGGTTTCTTTACGGAAGTAGATTGCCCCATCTTCCTTCCGAGGAGTGGCTGGTGGGTTTGAACTGCCAGCCTTCTGGTTAGCAGTCAGATGCCCTAGGCACTATGCTACCAGAGCTCCTCCTTATCAAATCATAAGGTACAGTTCCCAGAAGTGTCACTATCATGTATACACTGAGAAAAATGCTGATAATTGTCATTTTGAGATTTCATGATAAGATACACCCCAGCTCCAGAGATGTCCAAGTGTGAAAAACTGTGTGTGTCTGTGTCCGAATCCACAAAACAGCAAACTGAGGGGCAGCCTCCTTGCCGGCTGTTACGGGAATGGCTGACTTCTGATTACTGAAAAGAGAGTAGGGTTCGGAATGTTTTTTGGACAAAAGCAGGTTTATTTAGAGGGATCAGATTATAGAGGCTAAAAATATTAAGGCCCAGCCACCCACACATACTTGGTTTTAAGCCAGAAGGAAATATGGCATTTAAGTGCTTAATTGAAACCTTGAAAGGAGAGCAAAGAAAATATTTTCTTGGCATTTCTCTCAGAAGGCCTGTCCAGGCACACCTCGGTTCACTGCATCGAGCACGGCTGTCAATGCCGTTTTTCCAACAGCATGGGCTCACTTCGAGTCTCGGTGGCCTGTTTTGGTCACTCACAATATCTCGAAACCTTTTCCTGATACGATTGCATGTTTGATGGTCGATAGTAGAGTGTAAACATAACTTGGAGATGCGCTGGGAAACCGCAGTGCACATGGGACTCACTCTGTTGCGAGCCTTGCTCTGTGGCGGGGGCCTGGGACCGAGCCCGCGCTATCCCGAGGTGTGCCTGTGTCTTGTGCAGCCGGGCCGGCTGAGCCTTTTCCAAGCTGTCCCGTCTCTAACCTCCATGTTCCGTCTCCGTTGCTCTGATAGGAGGACAGTGAGCGCTGCTCCCGTCGAGCCCTGAGGAACTCATCGGTTAGTACCCCCTTCCTTCCACCTTGGGCCTGGACTCTGATCTGCACGTTCAGTGGCCGAAATGGCTCTTCACTGCCCTCTGAGTGATGCCTTTGAGGGAAATTGCCGCAGTGAGGCCTGGGACGGCTGGAACTTGCCGGGGCTGCCCTGCTTGTCCAGGTCTCACAGGTTTGCGGCCTTTGGCAGGGCGCAGCCCTTCCTGTCACTGTTAGCAGGAAGCATATGCATTTCCTTCTCTGGCAGGTTTCCACCTTCCATGGGTTCTGGCTTTCACAGGTTTCTTGCTAATAGTGGCGTTAGGACCTACACCAGGACCCTGGTGTGGCTTTTAGCATCTTGGCCTACCTGTGGGGGTCGGGGGGTGTTTGAGAAACTTGTGAGTATTAACGTGTTCATAATGATTTCAGGGCCTTTTTGGCCGTGTCTTGGATAATTGGTGTAATCATATCCACGGGGCTTGGGATTGGTAGGTGACCTGGGTGGTACATGGTGGTTTTGAGGAAGTTCATTTCCACCCATGTCCCGTCCCCCTGATGTGGGAGGGGCGTCTGAGCCCCCTACAATGGGATCGGCTGGCCGCACCCCTCGAGGGCTTGGGTGTGCACACAATGCCTTCATGGTTGTCTGTCCTCTCCCTTCATAGGCTTCCGATGAAGACGAGCGCTTGTCAGTGGGTAGTCGTGGAAGTCTGCGGGTCAGTACCACGGGGACTCTGTTTGCATGCCACGACTTGGGGTAGAAGCGCTTTGCCTGGTCACCCCTGCATCCATGCTGCTTGCTCCTCATCCCTGGAGAGTCTCGCCATCGCTGACTAAGTGACAGGAGACTTGCTTCAAATCTGATCTCTGCAGCCACGTCTTTGCTGCCGCCCGGGGAGGCGTTTCATAACTAGGGGCCTCTGTTGTGTCTTTCTCCCAAGACTGGGCTGTACTTTGTATGTATGTGTTTGTCCGCATCACAGAACTGCCCAAGCTTGGTTAATGTGGCCTTGGCTTCACTACGTGTGGTGAGCAGGAAGGTGAGTGTGTGCCCATTTGTACACCGCTCCCCATAAAACTTGAAGGTGGCCGTGGGAGGAACTTCACGGCCATGGCTGTCAAGCAGGGCTCATCACTGGTATGTTTGTGTGGCTCCTTGCAAGCTCTCGGCTGCCTGGTGAGACCTGAGAAGACGCATTTGTTTTATAACCATAATGAAATCCGTTCTCTGCCAGGTTGAATTTTCAATAGATACAAATACATATTGTTCTTTAAATGTTCCAAATGCCTGCATAGCTATACTCAGAAAAGGTGTGTGCTTTGGAAATTTAACTAGAGCATGAACTGTGTTCGCTTAGTGCTTGAAATCACTAGCTTAATCTAAGCTTGCTCATTTCCTTGGCCACAGACGTGAAATTCCATCTCACTGCGACTAACAATTAGGTCTCAAAGCAGCAGCTGCATTTTACTTAAGGACTAGAGAGAGCTGGGGGTCTGTGGTGGTCTTAGTGAGCACGATAGTCACATCATAGCAGACACGCACCAGACTTCCTTCCCGTGCGCTGGGAGTGCAGCTAGCATGGCGCATGGCACTGTTCTTACCACAGTTAGCAAACACGCAGGTGGCACGCTGTCCATGTGCTGTCACACTGCTCCGCCTCCCTGGGACCCTTGCAGAGCAGAAGCAGGTCCACAGTGATTTTTCAGACAGCTGTGGTATTGGTCACACTTGAAGTGGTTCAAGGGCTACCTAAGTGTTTGGAGCTTTCTCCCGAGAGACAGCCACTGATACAGTGGGACCTTCCACCAACCATCTGACGCACCTCAGTCTGGAGTAAATGAGGTGGATGGAACCAGAATGTTAGCTACGAAAAACTGAGTTTTCAGAATCTGGATGAAGCACAGAAATGAGAACCACTGAGCGGGCCCAGGAGAACGTTGAGTCCTGGACGCCACGGGAAGAAAACAGTATCCCTGGGAGTAGGTCTAGGCAATCAAGTGAGAGTGGACGGAGAATTGACCATTGGTGTCGGCGCCATGGACGTGGGTGGCCTTGCCAGGGAAGAATTTGGGATGGAAACGGTGAGACCAAAACCTGCTTGAACTGGGGCCCAGAGAGACTAGGAGAAGAGATGTTGGAGACAGAATCCACGTCTCTCTATCAAATGCCTCCTCTTCATGTCTGTGATGCCTCCTCTTCATGTCTGTGATGCCTCCTCTTCATGTCTGTGATGCCTCGGAAATTGCATGTGTGATGCTGTGGTGCTTGTGTTTTTCTGGGAAAGGAGTCTGTTGCTGGCATGATGTTCTCTGGTTTCCTGAGCCCCGAGAGTTCAGAGCTGCCACGGGGTCAGGGCGTGTTACGGCGGCATGCTGGCGTTCAGTTCCTTTCCAATGACTTTAACCAGAAATGAGTTAAACGTGTTTGCCAGGATCGCAAGCAGACTCGTTTAAGGCACAAGATTTCCTACAGGAGCCACAGGCGGATGCTGCAGCCGAGGGGGGCGGGCGCACTCAGAGCGGGGTGGGGTCCTCTTTCCGGCTCCGCTGCGCTTTCAGTGATGGACTTGCCCTGGAGAAGTGGGCTCTGTAAACCAGGGAGTTGAGGACTCGGACCTGGGGGCGAAAGTTAAGCTTCCTACTTGTTACGGCTGCAGTGAGCTCGGCACGGGGAGGGGCTCAGAGCCACGGTCCTGGTGCCGGAGCCCCTGCCTCTCCCTCCACGTGCTGGGAGGCCACAGCCCGGCTTTGCTGACCTCGCCCACTGGCCCTGCCCAGCCAGCAGCCGGGAGCCCCATCCACCCCATCCCTGTGTGGGTCCCATGGGTGCTGTTGTGACGTGATTTGAAGTTCTGATTCTTCAGTTGGTAAAGTTCTGGTATCAGATCACACTTCACGTTTCCTGATGTTCCTGAAACACAGAGATGACAAACCGTCAAAACAAAACACAGGGGGTTTGCTTTCCTCGCCTGTGCTTGGCTGTTCCTCTCCATTTTGGATACCAGAAGTTTGTCATTGTTATTATCTAGAAGTGGACAGTGAGGCGTCCATTATAAATAGAATATATTTTGTAAAGAAGGAAATGAATCGGCCCAAATGGTTTCCATTTCCTGAACCAGAGCAACACGTGTCTTGGAAGTCGCCGTGCGTGTCCTTAGATCTGCGGCACATTCTAGTCTCGTGTCTCCTTTGCGTCTGCACACACAAGATCCTGCGGGTCAGGAGAGATGGCATGGTGGGCAGGGATTGGGAGGGCCTGGGTACGGTTTAGGCTTTGCCGTCTCACTGCCCTGTCGTTCACTCTGCCCACTCTCTGTTGTCTCCCTCTCCCGTTCCTGGTCTCACAGTCGCTGCCTGACTCGGAGTTCGGGGGCACCTTCGCCTGGGTGAGAGGGGTCCGATGACCTTTGGCGTGTGGTTCCTAACTGTGGTGTGTGACAGATAATAACCCAGCAACATTGGTATTTACACTAATCTGATGGGTGTTTTTATAAAATGCCAAGTACCTCTTTGTCCAAAAGGACAGCTATGCCATCTGCATGTTTACCTTGGGGACTGTAAGGGCAGGAGGTGGGTGCCCCTGAGGGAATGCCCCCTCTCCCAGGGACTCCAGTGCCCATGGAAGGTTCTGGAATCAGTCACTGTGTACACACCCTCTCCCTGGGTGGTTTGTGGGCACCTGCCCTTTGCCCCGCATTACGCTAAGAGCTGTGGATCCAAAGATGAACAAGATAGTGCCTTGCTTCCAGGGAACTAAAGTCAGGCCAGGAATTCCCAAAGCCTTAGTCTAAATTTCCTTTTAAAAAAAGAGAAAGTTTCCTTACCTAATGAGAAACCAGTATTTTCTAATCTATGCATTCAAGTTAAATGGCAGATCCCACGTTGCAGTAAATACTCTTTGAGAAAGATTCCAGGGCCAGAAAGGAAGGCTTTGGATTTAAACTCCGGAACTGCTGTCTTGCACCTAGTGACGCAAGCTCCTGTGCCATCCCCTCTCTGAACACCTGTGTTCTGACCTCCATTTCTAGAAGAAAATGAAGGTGACTCAGGACTAAGGCGGCTCCAGCTGTGTTTACTGTGTGTCACCAGTGAGGGCTTGGTGGGAGAGTGTTTTGTGCCGTGACTCCATTGCATTTGAAAATTCTTCAGTAAGTTGTGTTGTTAAAATGCACCTCACCCTGAAGGTGGTGACAGTGGCCTGCCTCTGTGTAGCGCGTTTGGGCCTCTGGCCTTCCCAGAGAGGCTGCTGCTTCCCATCAGCAGATAGGACCCTGAGAACCCGCGGATGAGGGGTGCCCGAGGAGGCTGCCAGCACCCCAGCCCAGCAGGTGAAGTCGTCTTCGCCTGGCGAGCCTGAGCCCCGCTGTGGAGGGCGGGCAGCACAGGTTGTGGGACTGGGTTCAGAAAGTGCCCATCGGCATGTGCCCCCATTCCTCTGACCCACAGGGCGCTCCAGGACTGGCCCTGGGAGAGACGGGCAGTTCTGCCCAGGAGCTCGCCTGTTCTTGAACTAATCGAGTGCGTTAGCAGCACAGTGCTACAGTCTTGGCCTTTTTTAGTTTCAATTCAAAGTCAAGCGTGCTGAAGGGCCAGCCCCACCCACACGTGTGTACTGTGTTAGCAACAGCTGGGAACACAGTTTGGATTTCTGGGGTTTTTTTGTTTGTTTGTTTTTCAGTTTTCATTCAGTTTTCAAGTTAAATTGAGAGCAGCAAGTGTTGCACGCAAGAGTTTTGATTTTCCTCTCTTGCTTTGTTTCCCATCCCCAATGCCTTTTAGAGGCAATCCGCCCTTTGATTCATGTAGAAAATCAGACATCAAGCATCACTAATTGAAAAAGCTGACAACGGCCTTGTGTGTGTCCCATGTGAGGCTGACACTCAGAATACTAACTGCACGACCGACCCGGCACTGTCACTAATCAAAAGTTACTGCAAGAGTAATGGGTTTGGAAAGGGTGTTTGCTCTTGTATGTTGCCTGTCCTTTCGGAAAATGGCGTTTGCAAGTGTCCTCTTTGTTTTGTTCTCGGTGATGGTGGTACTTCTCAGTCCTGCTGCACGTGCGATTCACCCGGGGAGCGTGTCAAAGTGCATGTTCCCTATGCTCATTACGGTGCGTGGGTATTCCAGCTCCCACGGCAGCACACCAGGCGGTTGGCCCACCACCCTCTGAGACACACTGCGTGGACCAATGTGGATGCGTTTGCATGTGGTGCCCGAGGTGGACAGCAGACACCTGCCTTCAGGTGCAGCTGCTCTGCTGTTTGTGGCTCTTGTTCTGGGGTTAGTTAGTCTTCAACCCTCCTCACCTCACTACATCACTTGAAGACAGCTGCACCTATCCGAGTGCCCCACAGGAAACATTCCATATCCAAGGGAACAAAGGTGATGGCCTTCTTTAGGAAGGCCATTGAACTTTTGTCAGCGAGATGCTGTGGACTTGGGAGTACAGTGTATGTGTGTTGTTGTTGTTGTTATATGCCGTCGAGTCAGACCCGACTCATAGCGACCCCTCCTTGGGTTTCCGAGGCAGTATCACTACGGAAGTAGATTGCCCCATCTTCCTTCCGAGGAGTGGCTGGTGGGTTTGAACTGCCAGCCTTCTGGTTAGCAGTCAAGTGCCTTAGCCACTATGCTACCAGAGCTCCCACAGTGTATGTGTAGTCCTGTGTTTTTAAGTCAGTAATGTTGACAGCCAAGCAAGGAGAATACATTAAACTAAATTAAGTTCCTGTCCTTTTCCAGAGATGTTTACTGTTCAACTTACTTCCCATTCAGCACATAGGACCCCAAGAACCCAAGGATGGGGGTACCCGAGGAGGCTGAACATTTTCGTATTACTTCTGTTTCATTAAGAAACTTCAGATTGATGCAATTTTGTTTTTGAGCTGTAGCCAAAGCAAATATATAGTCAAATAGTGGAGATTTATGAATCCAGGTTTGCAGTCTGTCCAGAAATTCATTTATTTATTCCACATTAATTTCACGGGGAAAAATACATGCTGAGCAGCCTGCTGGGTCCTCCCTGCCCTCCACCCCAGCCCTTCACCTAAGGAAACTCATCCCGCCCAGGTAGTTCCCTGCGTCCAAAGGGCTTCTGTGCTAAGTCCATTCCGATGTAAGTCACATATCTCTTGTTTTGTTTTGCTTCCATTATTATTGCCTTTTGTTATCAGTGTCATTGTAAATCTGGTCTTTGGACGTCTGCGAGAGCATGTCTGTGAGTGATGACGTTAGTGGGTCATGCGCTGCAGCAGTGTATGTAGTGCATGTTACTCGGCGCGAGACGTGCAGAAGCACAGGTGTGAGTGCAGGTCCTCGCGCCCGAGTGCCTCTCAGGTGGGGAGCCGCCTGCACCTCCAGCTTGCTGGGCACCTGGCATGAATATGAGCTGTTTACCCTCTTGGTAAGCCCGGCCTTCCTGAGGACTTGGGATCCTCGTTTCAGTGCTGACACCAGCCTCTGAAAGTACATACTGCTTCTTCCAAAGCACATATATGTTGCGGAGGAAGGGGAGGGTCAGGGGCACTCAGTGACTTGCTCCGGGTCACAGGACGAGCTGGACTTTGGGCCACCTCTGTGACCCCAGGGCTAGCTCCGTCCTCTTCACCCGCTGTGCCCACTGCCCCCCCTTACCATCTTGAGATCTTGTTTGGTCTCCGACACTCAACAGCTCTCATCTTGAATCATCAGAAATTTCCGTGTAGAATAATTGGAGTTTTGGGGACACCCTCGCTTTGGCTTAGTGGGGACCTGGGCTGGCGTTGAGAAGAGAGTGAAGGCAGACGTTCCACATGCCCTTTCTCGGTTTTTTGGAGGACAGATTACCCGATCGTTAAATACCATTTTCATGCATATAACATGTGCCTGCTACGATTACATGCCAACTACACCCTTCCCCTGGGATGTATTTTTGTAAAGGCCATGATGCCAATTTTTTCCTTTTACCTGCAGCAGTGAAAAAAAATGCGTATCGCGTTTACAAAAACACCTGGGAAGAGGGAGCAGTAGGCAGAGGAGCTTAAGAGGAGTGCACTATTTGTGTACAAATACAGCATGTCTCAGATCTCATTTTAGAAAATAAGGAATGAATAATAATACAGTAACTGCATTTCATTATAGAATACTTGCCTTCTGTAGCTGAGAAAATACCATAGGAGATACAGCCCAGGATGAGCTTTTTTTCCATAATAAACGTTTGCATTTAATTATAGATTGAATAGAAACCATATCTGAATCCTCAGAGTACATCTTCATAGTGGGCTGAGATGATCAAGGACTAACGCTGAGCAAGCAAGAACTAAAGAATCATGGAGAGAGGCTCACACACACACACACACACACACACACACCTGTCCTTGGCACCCACCTTCTTGTGGGCCAGTGTCCCAGCAGCACCACCATAAAACTGGAGAGAGGAAAGCAGGTGCAAGTAGGTGTCAGGCTTCACTCCTCGGAGAGGCAGCCCTGGAGTGACAGGCGGTGACATGTGACGTGGACCGTAGGGACTTCACTGCTTGACTGCTGTGTTCCCCTTAGTTGTAGTGGAGCAGTTGAGACACGTGGAGGTAGTTTGGGGGCCACTAAGATTTGTACAGAGGTCCCTGAGTGGTGCCAACGATTTTGTACGGGGCCGCTAACCTAAGGTTGACGGTTTGCACCTCTATCCAGCAGCTCCATGGAAGGAAAGACCTAGAGATGTGTCTCTGTAAAGATGAAGGCCGAGAAAGCCCCTCCTGCTGTATGGCCTGTGGGGGCGTCGTGAGTCGGAACCGCCTCCCCAGCAGCCAACGGCGGGATTTGCCCGTCCGGGGCTTCTGTCCGTCTGCTCCACGGAGCACGCGCTGCATCTGCTCGGCTGCTCTCTCTGCCGCTGTCTGCCTCTGCACGTGTGGCTCATGGTCTTTCTCTTCTTCTCTCCATGGAAACAGACGAACGGTTACGACGGCGAGCCGTACGGACCCCAGGGCTGCGGATCCCAGCCCCTGCGCGGAAGAGCTGGCAGGGTCAGTACAGTGCATTCTGTTGCCACAGAAGCCAACCAGGGTGTCCCAGTGCCTTTTAGAAATATTGGCAGATGAGCATCTTTGCTTTATTTCCTGTGTGACGGTGGGTCTCTCGCTCCCTCTTTTTTTTTTTCTCTCCCTTAGCACATGATAGAATAAAAGCTAAAGTTTTCCAACCAGTAAGCATTCCAAGCGTCAGTGCTCAAAATGAATATGTAGGAATCTCTGAGTTTGGAAGGACCCGATCGAGAGCGGAGGAGTAGCTCCTTTCGTTGCCTCACGTGAATGTGGAGAAGGAGCCCTGGTGGTGCAGTGATTAAGCTCTCAGCTGCTAACCGAAAGGTCGAGGGTTCAAACCCACCAAGTGGTCTGCAGGGCAAAGATGAGGCCGTTGGCTTCTGTAGATATTTACAGCTTTGGAAACCCTGTGGGACAGCACTGCTCTGTCCCTAGGATCACTCTGACTCAGAATTGACTCAACAGCAGCAGTTTTTGTTTTTTTTAAGTGTATGCATAAACTAAACCAAACCCAACCCACTGCCACTGAGTCGATTCAACTCCTAGTGACTCCCTTTGGCTTTCCAAGGCTGTAAATCTTTATGGAAGTATACTGCCTCATCTTCCTCCCATGGAGCAGCTGGCGGGTTTGAACTGCCAGCCTTCTGGTTAGCAGCCCATTGCTGTCCCCACTACACCAGCAGAGCTCCTTGTTGTTGTTGTTGTTGTTATGTGCCGTCGAGTCGGCCCCGACTCATAGAGACCCCTCCTTGGGTTTCCCAGGCAGTTATCCTTGGTGTATGTGTAAAACCAGCCTCACTGCCATCGAGTCGATGCTGACCATAGATGTGTGTATAGTAAGTGTATTCAGCTTTCAAATGTACTTAAAATGGGCATTTTCACACTTTCGTACATCTCTTATTTGTAACTTTAATCTTTGTCCTAAAGACACATGTACTACCCTCATTGGGTTTCCAAGGCAGTAAATCTTTATAGAAGTGGATTGTCCCATCTTCCTTCCATGAGTGGCTGGTGGGTGTGAACCGCCAGCCTTCTGGTTAGCGGCCCAGTGCCTTAGGCACTGAGCCCCCAGAGCTCCTTAAAGAAAAAGGAGGGAAGGGAGTTGAATACCACGGCAGGGGCTGCTCACGGCTGCTGCAGGGCAGGGTGGGCAGCAGTGGGGAACTGGTGGGGGCGGAGCTGGGGGAGAAGGAGGGAGGACCCCAGAGCAGGGGTGAGGGTGGGCAGTGGAGGAAGGCAGTCAGTGGGGGCTTCCAAACATTTTAATCAAGCTTCATACCTGCTACAGGTATATTGTACATTAAAGTCTATGAGAGCTTCCTGTCCTTCCGTTTGCTTCATTTATTTTTCCATAGTTATAGATTTGACTAATCCTGTAAAATGGAACTTCTTTTAACTGATCGTTATTACATTAAGATACTAAGGTAGGTTAGGGTACCTAAGCTTCAGTGACATTTTCAGGCTTCAGAGAGGTGGCTGGACCCCGACTCCGCACCCCCAGCCAGTGGTGACTTCCGGGAATTGGCCGGTCACTGTACCCTCCTCGCTCCTGTTCCGGGTCCCACACGCTTCTCTGTGTGTTGTCTGAGCTACACTCCTTCCACGTGGGGAACCTCAGGTTGAAGGCTGTGTCTTCCAGCTTTGCCTTCTGCACTGACTTCCTTTGGACGTCCTCTGGCTCTGTCCCGTTGTCTTTAAGGTAGCACAAGGGCAGGAGCGTTTTATACTTGGGGGGGGTGAGATCGGCGTTGCTGGCCACGGTGCTCAGTGCTGCCGTAATGGACTGCGGTGCTCTCTGACGGCGTCCAGGCCGCTTCTCAGTTTCCTTCGCGGGTTTGGAGCGTACCCCCTCGGGTGGGTGTTGTTTCACAGAGGATCAGTAATCAGTCACAAGGAATCACAGTTTGGAGTGGGAGCTGCCCCAGTTCTTTAGTCCAACTTCTACCCAGTGTGCCCTTTTTCTCTAGACTGTCCCTGCCCCGTAGTTCTGATGTGTTGGTGACGTTGCCGGGTGACACCAGGCCCCATGTTGTGTCTACAGCCATATGCTTGAATCTTTGAATTTTATGTTAAAACAGTGAAAGCATGCGTGCTTTATCGCTTAGTTAAGATTGAAGTTAGGCCTTTAAGACTCCAAGACAGAGCACGTTGATTGTGAAATAGCGTGAACTTGGATAAAAACACAGACTTGTCAAACAAACAAGAAGTATAATGATTGGAGAGTTAAACCCTGTGCCTTTAATGGGTGTTGAGCCCTGGTAGCATAGTGCCTAAGGCACTTGACTGCTAACCAGAAGGCTGGCGGTTCAAATCCACCAGCCACTCCTCGGAAGGAAGGTTGGGCAAGCTACTTCTGTAGATATACCGCCAGGAAACCCAAGGAAGGGTCGCTATGAGTCGGGTCTGACTCGACGGCACATAACAACAACAACATACTTAGGAAGACCTGGAGCAGAGAACTGTGGGACAGGGCAAGGAAGCACCATAGTAGGATTGGGTTGGACGGGGAAGTTGTATCCATGGAGGAAGTACCTCTGTGGGCAGGAATGAAATGACCACTGATGAAAGGGACTCTTTTCTGGTGAGGGGACTAGAACCCGGATCTCTCTTCGCAGGAGAAAGGCCCGATGGGAGTGGGTACTCTTGATCATTTTGGTCATCATTTTGTGTCTTCATCTGTGACTGTCAACTCACTCTCCAGACCCTTGGTTGGATCTGACATGTTTAAACAGGGCATTTGTGTTCTGTGGACAAGTGGCTCTCCGTGGGAAGCCGGGGCGTGTTGGGCTCCACCTGCCTCAGGAGTGTGTCCCTCATGGGTGCTGGGGCCCGAGGAAGATAGGAAATTTGCAGTCAGTGGCATTTTAGTTATGAAAGAACGTGTGCCACAAGCCCTAGTGGTGCAGTAGTTAAAGCTTCTGGTGGCTAACCAGAAGGTTAGTGGTTCAAACCTACCAGCCGCTCCACAGGAGAAAGATGCAGTCTGCTTCCGTAAAAATTACAGCCTTGGAGACCTATGGGCAGTTCAGAATCAATTCCATGGCAGCGATTTTTTTTTTTTTTTAAGAAGGTGTGCAAGTTCCCTCGGTGTGGTGCAAATGGTTTGTGCTCGGCTGCTAATTCAACGGTTGGTGGTTTGAGCCCGCCTAGTGCTGCCGTGGAGGAAAGGTCTGGGAATCTGATGTTATAAAGGTTGCCATTGAGAAGGGCCCGGGGGACTCAGGTCTGCTCCATGACACATGGGACACCAGGAGTTGGAATCGGCTCAACAGCCATTGGTTTGGTTTATTCTTTTGTTTAGAAAAACAGACATGCAATCAGGAGAATTCAGACTAGAAGGCTGTGATAGTTAAATTTGTATGTCAACTTGGCTGGGCCTGGTTGAGTGGCTGGGCAGCTGGTGGTAGTTATTCCCCATGTTGAGACTGGCAATCAGCTCCATGGTGAGATATACCACAAGCAGCTGAGTAGCTGCCTTTGGGATGTGGTCTGCTTCCTGTATTTAAGGAGAAGCCTGGGGGATGGTCTCTAGCCTGTGGCACACTGGGACCCTGCGTGTAGCTCTGTTGTTGTTCAGCAGCCTGCCATGCTCTGGTGACCTTGGGACTTACATTGGTGGTCTATTCTTGGGAGAGCAGCACTAGGGAACCAGAACAGAGGCTATAGCCTGTGTGTCCCGAGACCCAGCGAGTGATCTCAGTACTGCTAGAGACACCCAGCGAGTGATCTCAGTACTGCTAGAGACGCCCAGCGAGTGATCTCAGTACTGCTAGAGACGCCCAGCGAGTGATCTCAGTACTGCTAGAGACGTGGCGTTGTGAAAGCAGCACCAGCTACGCCATATAGCCTCGTGGTGCTGGCGCGGAAATAGAGGACAGGGCTCAGCCTGCGGCCGTTGAGGGCATCTGCTGTGCCGGGTGTGTGTTGATTCGTTAGCTGGACCGGCACTCCTGGTTACTGATGCCCGTTTGGTTTCGTGGTCTTGCCTCTTGAGGGGACGGGTGGAGCACGTGGCGTAGTGTGCAAGTGCTCACCTCTTACGAATGTCTTCTTCTTTGGTGCTCAGAGTTCCAGCGTCAGCGGCGATGGCAGAGCGTCCACTTGGTCGTCATCCAGGGAGGAGAAGTTGGTTGGTTCCCATTTAAATCTTTCAAATTCCGTCTTCAGAAACGACAGGTTTCGTAGCATGCGATTTTGTGTGTGTGGATTCTGCTCCAGTCTGCTTTTCTTTCTTCTTCTTCTTTTTAACATGTCTCTTTTTCAACTTTTCGTTCTTGTAGATAGTTTGTGACTTTCTGGGGCAGTAGTGAACATGAGTTATTTAAGCCCTACTTGCTGCACTGTGGCCGGGTTTGAATGTGCCAGCTTGACTGTGGCAGCTACAATGAAGTGTCTTTGTGGCCATGTTGTAGTTAGAATGAATCAAAAGGAAAATTGAAATAAGAAAGCCTTGAGGCTTTTTCCTGGTGAGTTCCTGAAAACTGAAATACCAGTATTACAAGTATTAATATTTGTAGGGTGAATGGAAACTTGGTGGCAGTTTCTCAGGGGATGGACTAGATCTGGAAAGAAAATCAAGTCAAATCAAAATCCAAATGTCTACACAATAGCTTCCTTCCTGTAGTTTGAGAGCAGGTATCAGTTCTGATGGGCAGATATTCCTAAGTTATTTAAAAGCTCTAATAGGTGATGAAGGAGCAGTGGAGGTACACTGGTTAATGCTTGGCTGCTAACTGAAAGGTCGGCAGTTTGAACCCACTGGCTGCTCCGTGGAAGAAAGATGTGGTGGTCGGCCTCCATAAAGATGACGGCCGTGGAGACCCTGTGGTGCAGTTCCACTCTGTCCTCTAGGGGCGCTGTGGGTCAGAATGGACTCCAGGCAGTGGGTGTGGTTTGGGCTTTGCTTCTGTGAAGATT